ACATGCATATGTATCTGTCTGATTGTTATGGGTTAACGTTTGATCCGTTTTTCCTCTTTTAAGACAAAAGTTGAGATCTTTGAGGTTGTCTAAATCACAAGCTTTTTGCTCTAAAAGGATCTCTTGTGAAAATCTTTTCCTTTTTGGAACTTTGCAGATATTGAAGAGAAGGTGCAATATGTGTTGAAGCTTTTACAAGAAGATGGAGATTCGTTTGCGAAGCGTGCAGAGATGTATTACAAGAAGAGACCAGAACTCATAAGCTTTGTTGAAGAATCTTACAGAGCTTATAGAGCTTTAGCTGAGCGTTATGATCACATTTCCACAGAGCTTCAAAACGCTAACACCACCATCGCCTCTGTTTTCCCTGATCAAGTCCCAAACTTTGCAATGGACGATGATGACGATTCCATCTCTAAATTCGCCAAAAGACCGAATCTTTCTGGTGCTAATGTCCCTAATGTCCCCAAATTGCCTGTTAAAGACTTGAAGAGCGCGGTTCGAGTGGCTACCAAGAAGCTTCAGCCGAGGAAATCTATGAAGTACACGGGCGGTTCTGCGAATGTCGCTGTTAAGAGCTCCGGTTTGAGCAAGCCCGAGGCGATGGGGGAGATTGATAAGTTGCAGAAAGAGATCTTGACGTTGCAGACTGAGAAGGAGTTTGTGAAGAGCTCTTACGAGCAAGGTTTGGCTAAGTATTGGGAGTTTGAGAAAGGTATCAAGGAGAAACAAGAGAGGATCTGTGGTTTGCAGGATGAGTTTGGTGAGAGTGTTGTGATTGAAGATGATGAAGCTCGGAGATTGATGACCGAGACTGCGATTAAGTCGTGTCAGGAGAAGCTAGTGGAGTTGCAGGAGAAGCAAGAGAAGTCTTACGAAGACGCTAGAGAAGAGCATATGAAGATTAAGGAATCTAAAGAGAAGCTAAGATCTATCGCGAGCCAGTTTCTAGGTGACGAAAGTGTCACTGCGAAAGACGATGGTGATGAAGTTAGAAGAACTGAAGAGTTGGAGCATGAGATCAAAGAGATGTCTAGGAAGAAGAAAGAGTTGGAATCTGTAAAGGAGAAGATTAGAGAACATTTTGAGTCTGGCGTGAATTCTTCGCTCAACGCGACAGAGATGGCTGAGAAAGTCGATGAGCTTGTGAACAAAGTGATTAGCTTGGAGAGTGCGGTTTCCTCGCAGACTGCGTTGATACAGAGATTAAGAAACGAGACCAACGGTCTTCAGACACAGATCAGTACCCTTGAAACCGATAAGGCGATGTTAGCAGACGATAAGACTGATCTGAGGAACAAGCTGAAGGAAATGGAGGAGAAACTCAAGGCATTGCAGGATTTGGACAGGAGTGTTATGGATAAGCGTAGCAATCTGCATACACATTTTGATGAAGCATGTAATAATCTCGATAACCTCTCTGGTGGGAAGTTGCATGAGGTGAAGCCAGAGAGCGAGTCTGGTAACTTGGCGATGAATATAGAACCGGAGAAAGATCTGGAAGGTGAGAAGAAGAGTTTAGATGTTTCTCAAGAGACAGAGGAACATCGAAAGGAAATGGCCGAGGAGAAGGAAGAAAAAGCCGAGAAGACTGAAAGCCCTGAACAAACCTGCAATGCGACAACAGTTGCAGCAGAAGATATCATTATCCCAAGTAAAGGTCCAGAAACTGTTTTGAAATCTACTGAAAAGGTAGATTCTGATTCAGAGAAGCAAGTTGCATCTGAGAATACAGAGACTGTTCTTGATACTGTTTTAGAGAAGCAGGCTGCATCTGACAAGACAGATTCTGTTCCGGATAATGTTTTAGAGAAGCAAGCTGCATCTGACAAGACAGATTCTGTTCCGGATAATGTTTTAGAGAAACGGATATCTTCTAAAGAGTCTCAGATCGCTTTCAATGGCGAACAACAAGAGGATCAAAAGGAGAAAGAAAGTGAACCAGATTGGAAAGAGATGTTCATGAAGGGAATGGAAAATAGAGAAAAGCATTTGCTTACGGAGTACACGACTATTCTCAGGAACTACAAGGATATGAAGAAAACTTTGGATGAAACGAATAAAAAGATGAAGACAGAGAACGCGACAAAAGATGATGAGATCAAGCTACTAAGAGAGAAAATGAGCCTCCTGCAGAAAGGTCTTGCAGACAGTAATGACTTGATGGAAAACCAGTTGTCAAACGACGACTATTCCATCGGATTCATGGCTTCAGGAAACGAGCACATGTCCCTCGTTGAGGAACAGTTCAGGTTGAATATTGATGAGCTTTTAGAAGAGAACTTGGATTTCTGGTTAAGGTTCAGCACAGCATTTGGACAGATACAGAGCTACGACACTTCAATCGAAGATCTGCAAGCCGAGATATCAAAGCTCGAGCAAAGAAGAAAGCAAGATGGAAGCAGCACAGCTAAATATGCACTGAGATCAGATGTTAGACCACTTTATCTGCACTTGAGGGAAATAAACACAGACCTGGGTCTCTGGCTGGAGAAAGGTGCATCCTTGAAAGAGGAACTGAAATCCAGATTCGAGTCTTTGTGTAACATACAAGATGAGATAACAAAAGCCCTGAAATCAAGTGCTGAAGACGATGATTTCAGATTCACAAGCTATCAAGCTGCTAAATTTCAAGGTGAAGTGTTGAACATGAAACAGGAGAACAACAAAGTGGCAGACGAGTTACAGGCCGGGTTAGATCACATTACCACGCTTCAACTCGAGGTTGACAAGACTCTAGGAAAGCTGAGCGAGGAATTCGCTCTTTCGGGTTCAAAGAACAGATCCGATCTTGATCTCCAGCATTCGGATAGCCGCTCAAGAGTGCCCTTAAGGTCATTCATCTTTGGCTCCAAACAGAAGAGAGCAAAGCCATCCATATTCTCGTGCATGCATCCCTCACTATATAGAAAGATGAAGACTTCTACATAGGTAACATTTACATATTATATAAGATACATACCATCCTGAGAGAGTTAATTGATTCATATACTGTAACTTATCAGATTCATGGAGGATTTGATCCATTCGTCTTTTTACCTGTATTTCCCTGGGGAGATTGATCATTTCTTCTATCCCCCTGTTTGCTTGCGAGATTGAAAAAGATAGTTTTGTGTTGGTTATCCTTTTTGAGTATTGTATGTAGACTGTTCACAGTTTGTCTCTTCAGTTTTTTTACATTATCTTCTTCAAAAGTTGTATGTCCAGAACCATTACAAGAAACAGAGTGTGTGACTTTATCTGTTCATTTATGTTTTCATGATGGCTTAAAAATAGATAATATTTCTGCAACAATCTTATGAGACTATGCTAAGACTCTTAAGAGCCACTATCTCTCAAAAACTGAATGTAAAATTAGACTGAAAATTTCATTTAGATAGATGAGAAATCAAATTATTTGTCAATCTGAAACAGTATACACAAGAGTTGATCTTTAGAGAACAAGCTTCATGAACAATTTACAAAAAAGAAGGCAAACTCAACAATTTACTGAAATAATCGACATTAAGAATGATAAGTTTTCTTGGGAGATAGTCTTTCAAGGATCAAAAGAGATTTCAGAGACTACCTTAGCTCCTCTTCCTTTAGCCATGTATAGACCTACATGGTGCATCAACTCCTGATAAAAAGAAACACAACAGAAGAATAAGAAGATGAGCCGATTCAGAAGCTAACAATTGTTGTACACACTAACAATGCTAATTTCAGAAGCATCAAACTTTTCATCAAGAGAAATATTATACCTGAGGATGAGCCTGAGCGCCTTTGATGTCTTTTGCAACATGAAGAGGAAGGTCAAAAGTTGCGCAGCCATGAGAGTACACTACGACATCTTCTAGAGGAGGAAGAACACCGTGATTTCTTGCAGCGAGTGCAGTACCCACAAAATCAAACACACATATGTCTGTGCAGATACCTACAACCACAATCTTTAGACCCCCAAAACACAGGGATGTTCAAGTAAGTTGATGATGTTAACTAAAAAGCATTGAACTTGTTTAACATAACTCATCATATTATCAAAACTTAAAAAACTTACGACTTTGATCTGTTTTTCCTTAACCCAATCAACAAAAACATTAGAACCATCTTTCTCCATGGAACCCACAAACCCATTAACGCAATCCTTTCGCCTAAGAGTGACACAGTTCTCACTTTCAATCCACTGCAGAGCTGATTGATTACCACAAGTCAAGAGACTGTCTCACTTTAGTTTAGAGTCTAACAAGACATTGACAGAGGGAGATACCAGGAACAAGATTTGATTCGTCAGTTCCTATGATACAATGAGGAGGATACGGGAACTCCGGAATATCAGGATGATGAGAGTCGAGAAACGCGAAAACCGGCCATTTCCGATGGCAGAATTCTCTTGCAAGCTTTGCAGATTCATCAACCATCTTCGATATCTGTTCGTTAGGCTTTGTTGGAGCCTGTAGAATCACAAGGCAGACAAAAGTATGAGTCAGGCATTATCACAAACACTTGGTAGACATG